CCTGATGGTTTTCTTTTATTATTTGTTACAATATCTTGTGGAATTCTTTCGAGTATCTCGCTTATATAAACTGTATCGTTTATTATACTGTTGTAGGGTATTCAACGGTCGGCCCCGCTCGACTGTAGCCTTTGCTTACTTGTTTTTCTCTCGCATTGGAAATTTTAGAAAAATATGTTAGTCCGATCTCGCCGAAAAATGGCGGAAATACGCGGAAAAAAATATCAGGCATGATAGATATGCTCTCAAAACAATTCCAGAGCATTCCCTTGTACATTGAATCGATAAAAATCAACAACAACACTTAAATTGTGTCAGGTCTGTTAAAGAATAACATAATGCTATGTCACGATATCGGGACATAACATATTTTTCCACTACCAACGCCATCTATTAAAGAAAAGTAACAATATAATGTCCCATCTTATTATATTATACTAGCTGAACCCGGTGCGCTTCGCTACCCCTCTTCTTTTTATATGCATTCAAAATTTTATTTACGAATATATGTTGGTTAAAAAAACGAATTTAAAAATTAAAAAAAAATTATTGCACTACTTTAATGCGTAAATAACCAAAACCGTTAGTAAAGCAGTAACATGACATACATACACGAAGGGTTTGTCCTTCGGATTTATTTATTTCATAGCAAATACCAAGCGTGCAGTAAACTGCAATCTTTTAAAGTTGAGTGGCATTTCTATTGCAATTAGTGAATTCGAGATAGCAGCATACTTCGCCGTAATAAGCGTATTTCAAATCAATTGTTGTGTTGTTTTTTAGTGTTAGCCTAAGGCGTTGTGGGTCAATGGTTCTTATTAAAATCATATCCCAATCTGATCCGGTTTAAATATAATAAATCGGCCGATAATATATACATGGGAGCTATATCCAAATCTTAACTAATTTCCAATTAATTTGTCACATTTATTATAGTAACCAAATTCCGCCACATTCTGAATTTCATTGGTATCGGTCATATATATCATGTTTGGTGCATAACATATATGAAATCGGCCGAAATATATATGTTAGCTATATCCAAACCTCAACTGATTTCAATGTAGTTTGGCAATTTTTTCTCGTGCCAGATTTCGTCCCTCTCGCTTTGGGTGCATCAAATATGTGAAATCGGCTGAGTATATATATGGGAGCTATAATCAAATCTGAGTGTATTTGATTATAATTTGTCAAATTTATTTTTGTACCAAATTTAGCCACTCATGCCGAATTTCGTTGGAATCGGAAATACGAATCGTGTTTTGTGCACCAAATATGTGAAATCGGCGAAAAATATATATGGGAGCTATATCCAAATCTGAACCGATTTTAATTTAATATAATTAAACTAATTTATTTTCTAATCAAAATCCCGTTACATATTCCAAATTTCTTTGGAATCGAACATACATACCGTGTATGGTGCATAAAATACATGAAATCGGTCGAAAATATATATGAGAGCTATATCCAAATCTGAACCGATTTTAATATAATTTGACAAATGTATATTTGTTTTAATTTCCGCTACAAATTCCAAATTTCATTGAAATTAGAGATACATAGCGTGTTTGGTGCATCAAATACATGAAATCGGTCGAAAATATATATGGGAGCTATATCCAAATCTGAACCGATTTCAATTTAATTTGACCAATTCATTTTGGCTCCCAATTCCGTTACTTATTTTAAATTTCATTACAATTGGAAATACATATCGTGTTTGGTCCACCAAATACATGAAATCGGCCGAAAATGTATATGGGAGCTATATCCAAATCTGAACCGATTTCAATATAATTTGGGAAATCAATTTTTTAGATAAAATCTATCACACGTTTCAATTTCATTGAAATTGGGAATACATAGCGTGTTTGGTGCATCAAATACATGAAATCGGTCGAAAATATATATGGGTGCTATATCCAAATCTGAACCGATTACAATATAATTTGGCAAACTTATTTTTGTTCCAAATTCCGTTACGTATTCCAAATGTGGAGACTGTATCTTTAACCGATCAATAGATATGTGCATATAAAATCTAAATTTTTGGGAGGTACCTCCGATTCTGATGCTATATCTCCAGTTCCAAGTGGAAATTCAAAAATGTATATAGCCTATGTTACTTTCAGGCGATGTTGCAGTATATATGGAAATTTTCAGGAAAATCTATTCAGCGGTTTTCGAGTCCATAAATTACAAACAAACATACAAACATTTAACTCTTTTATAGATATGGAAGATGTCTTTGAAAGTTGTGGTCCATTTTACAGTCAAAATCGGACGATAATTGCGATATGCATATAATACCCTCAAAACGTAGTGTTGGGGGATGTAAAAATTTAGAAAATTTACAATTCAAAATTGTAAGTCAAATCGAAAAAATCGCATGCGATAAAAAATATGACAAAAATTGAAAAAATCGACAAAAGATTATCACTTTTTTATTGGTATATTTTTCCGCGATTTTCTTAGATTTTATCGTTTTCTGGCAAGATACCATTCCGAATTGATGGGAATTGTGAAAATCGGCCCAGCGGTTCTTGATTTATAAGCAGAATAAATAAAATGAATTCTTTTACATATATATTGTACCTATTTTGCTATATATCAGATTTCTGGGCTATTAGCATCACTGTAATGATCAGAAGTGATCTTTTAATGTATTCGTGATTTGGCTGGGGTTGAACATATTAGCGGTTTAGTGGAAATTTTCCTATTTTCTTACATAAAAGTTAGGGTCTATTTTACCCGCTAATTATTGTCCGATGGCCGCCCAAATTGGCAGGTTTCTGCCCACTCCTAAACTCTAACACCATGTACATTTTCGCGTCGATTGGTTCATAATTGTGACCCATAGAGCAACTGCAAAACCAGGAAATTTTTGGTCCATTTCAACCCCTAAATATCGTGTGATCATCTCCAAAAACAATAGGGTTCTATTCTGACCATAACCCCACCTCCATAATTGGGACCTGTAGCTTGATTACAAATTAACATGGACAGACGGACAGAGGGACGGACGACATACATAGCTAGATCGACTCATCTCTGCGAGATAGGAAGATCCATATATACTTTCCTATGTGGGAAGCCAATATTTCGAGGTGTTACATAATTTTTGGCCCAATCAAACTTATAATACCCCCAACACATAGTGTTGTAGGGTATAATCATGAAAAAAAACATTACTACTGTACATTTAAAAAGTCAAAATGAAAATTTTGAAATATCACATTTATTTATAGCATACCTTTAGGCACTGCCAATATTTTTTTCAGCTAATAAGAAACTTATTTTTGTGTTATCCAGCGAACTCCCTCTTATCGTAGAGAGCCAATTTGGCGATTCTCAGGACCCAAAAGGCCAGGTTGTACTCCAAAATTAAATCGATTGTTGAAAAAGAACAACTAAGTTAATAACATTTCACCTGGAAATAATAGTGAAGCACCGAAACATCGTCGATATTATCTAACATCTTATTTAGTACTAAATGGTACTAAATTTGGTACATAGAGCAGGAAAAGAGCTAAATATATGTGAAATATATTTATTACAAAGGAAGATAATCACAAAGCACCTATGCTAATGTATCCATTTTTACACCCTCCACCTTGGAAAGGAGGTTATTATTAAAAATAAGATATATCTGTCCACGATTTGGTATTCCCCATGTAACGATACCTCCCAGCATTCGGTATTTTGACGATTTTCGACACATTTGTTCATGGATTTTTCCAAAAACACGTGGTGCATGGAGATCATAATGGGTTCTAGCTCTATACATTGTATGTATAGGCTACACGTTGGTGTAGCCCCCATATAACGGTACCTGCCGATATTCGATACTTTGATAAAAATTGGTATTTGCAGGTCATAATGGGCCCGGTGGCAGAACATTGAACATTTAGGTCTTCGTTTTCTTACAGCGCACATATAACGATACCCACCTATATTCGGTATTTTAATAATCCTAGTCACATTTACCCACGAAATTGTTTAAAATTTGTTATTTTAGAATATTTGATAGATGACAATCCTTGAAGTATAAAATTGTCTATAGAGGTTCCCGTTTTGGTATGGCCCCATATAACCGTCTCACTCACTTGATGGTTTTTTGAAGTTTTCTTACTAAAGTTTTAAGAGAAACACACTTGAATTCAGATACTTTTATGTAAAAATGTTTCCTTTACCCTAAGGTGGAGGGTATTAAAAGTTCGACCCTAGCCGGATATGAGATATGTGATCATTTTTGGAAAATATTGAAATATGCGTACAAGGTACCAGATATAGCGGAACAAAATATTCCACCACATCTAAAATTGACAATAATATTGTGATGAGCAAAATGTAAGAAAATTCACTTCCAATTTTTAGCGAATATTTATTTAAAAAAATGTTAACCTATTGTGGGGGAGGTACCCCAGGAGGAGTAGGCCGATAATAATAATACTAGATCTCTGATTGAAAAGAATCGCTTAATTTTTTCGCAAACTATGAGAGATATAAATATTTAAAATGTTAGTACGCAGAAGCCAGCCAGACAGACATACAGGTGGAAGGACGGACGGACACCTTTAGATCGACTTCAAATGTCCTGAAACGGATTTGGTCGTAGGGTCTAAAATTGTTATTTCGATGAGGCATGATTTGGCCTATCAAATGATATGTAAATTGTTTGTCACTGTTGAAATCGTTCAAATTGAATATTTCATAGGCTCAACGTATTTCGGTAACATTTGTGTAAATACATGTGTTTAACTTGTGTGGCGAAAAACGTCGACCGATTTCAATCAAATTCAAAGGTGGGTTGAGAATGCGACGTCAAAGGTGTGGTGAAAATTGTATTACGATAACTATCAGGATCACTGGCATTCTTTGAACATTTCCATCCGTTTCCAAATTTACTTGCAATAATTAAACGTTAGCTTTCACCTGTATCCAAGCCACCGTTGATCGGGCCATACCTCGGCCAAAAACATACCTCATTCTGGGGGTTTCTATTAAAGTACAACATTTATTTGATAATAAAAATTTATGAAATATAACAAGTCATTAAATTAGCAATAATAATTTTATAATAATATTTAAGTACAGGATACGGTGGATTCTATGGGATCTCTCCGATCGGCTCAGGGCCATTCGCCGTTTATTTATCCAGTCGTACGATGATGCTTTCGGCCGGTCCAATCTGGAAGTCACTGAAGTATATTTTATCACTGCTGTCGTGCAGCATCACGACGCCGCTGTAGAAATTCGAAGACATGTCCAAGGTCAACCGTTTCTGGCCAAAATTCGAAATGGACGCAAATGAGTTGCGTCGAGGATAGAGTCTCTCGACTATCAGAATGTCGTCTTCGCTTCGTCTAATGGCGGTATTGGGCAGGACCGATTCCGTTTTGCAAATGGCGTTTTTGTAAATTGAAGGTGAGCGGTCACGCAGCCTGATCATGCGCGATACAATTGGCAAGTAATCAAAATTTGCTGTCGGTGCGTTCGGCAGCCACGGCAGAGTTTCGCGATTCGTAAATTGCTGTGTAGAGTTCTCGGGCCACTGCATGGTGGACAAGTGGTGCAGATGTTTTGTTTCATTGTGCTCGTTCAGTTGGTCCTTTGCGGCTTGTAGGCCGATCTCATCGCCGTAGAATATGTTGGGAGTTCCAGGCAACATGAGTTGCATCAGAGTGGCGGTTAGAGTGAAATTTGTGTTCACACCATTGCGAGTGAGGCGGGGACTGTCCACACCGGCGATTGACCACTGAACCCAAACTCCTGGATCAGCAGGTGCTATTTCGGATGCCAGCACATTGTTGATGCGCTCTTCCAAGTCTTTGGCGCCGTTGAAAACATTCAAATGGACGTCTACAAGATCGACGTGCCTGAGCAGAAGGCTCCTTTGAGGTTCTTTGACTTTCTCCAGCACTGCTTCGCTAATGATGAGGACACGACTGTAGCCCAAGATGTCCTTCCACTCAGCCATGTGGTAGTCGATGTCTTCCAATTCAACAAATTCCTCCAGACCTTTAATGTAGAAGCCATCGACACCGAATTTGATCCAATGCTGCAGAGCTTGGGTAATTAAATTGGTGGTGATCACGGGCCTTGGTGTGGTCGTCGTTGTTGTTGTCATTCCGTCGGACACATTTAATGTGGTACTGGCCAGAACCTTGACCGCACTGGCTCCATCGGATTTGCCCAACTCTTTTAGATAGGGAAACAGGGGCAAATCTAGAACAAGAGACATATTCCTGAGATGCAAGGCCTGGCTCAGTTGTTGGACATCTTCGACCGTGCCCAAGACCTTGGACACATCTGTGAGGCTGGTTATGTTTTTAAAATCATCCGGATAGTGAGGTGAAGGGAAAATGGAATTTAGACGTACTGCCGACACTCCCAGTGACTTCAGATAGTCACTGCGCTGGACAATGCCACGCAAATCGCCAATGCCGTCATTGTCCGAATCTTGAAAACTGGCCGGAAATATTTCGTAAAAGACACTGCCGCGGTACCACATCGTTCTGAAATGCGAATCAGTTAGTGTTAAGTGTTGTTAAATAATTCAAAATTGTCGTCCAAAACTCACTTTGGATTACAGGTTTTTGGCAGCGTAACGATCATGGCCACCACCACGGCGCACATGGCCAACAGGCTGGACATGAAGACGAAAAATGTGCATTTCCGTATGAGGGGCCAGTTCCACGATACAAACGAAGGTGTGTCTTTGCCAAGCGGTATGTTTCCATTGGGTCCATGGCCATTCGAATCCTAAATATGGAGGACATTAAAAAAAGAAAAAAAATATTAATTCGACGTAAAAAAAAATGAGTTTCAAAATGTAAATGGAATATATTTTCTATCTAGGTTCGGCATTAACCATATTTTGGATTCCAAGTTATTTGATTGTGTGTTTGTTTTATTGTCTCTTGGCTATTGAGGCGTACGTACGGTGGTTATGTGTTTGATTCAAGTATAAACTAAGATGCTAATCGCTAAAGCCAGAGATGTGAGTTTGTAGAACGAACACTTGTGTGTGCACATACATAATTTTCACACCTCTGAAAAGCTTTTGCTAAATTTGTAGAAATTTTACAACATCTAAATGGGCACCCTACAGAGGGTTTGTTTGCTGAATAGATTTGTTCAATAGGTTTGTTGTTCAGCGCTGAATAGGAACAAGTAAAAAATCTGTTAGTAACTTTAAATACCCTCCCCCATTTGGAACAAGTTTGGAAAAAATAAAAGCCGTTTAAAATTCTAAACCATACCGAATATAGCTCTTATATTGTGGTCTATACGAAGACCAAAGGCAATTTTATGTCACAGGCTTCAAATACCTAATTTGAAACAATTTCGGTGAATATTGTATCTGAAATCGTCAAAATATGGAATATATTTTTGTCATAGGCTGTAGTATCCATTAGAAACTGTAAACACGAAATTTGAACCATTTACGATGAATAGTGTTCCTAAAATTATCGAAATACCAAATATCGGGGGGTTCCGTTGTTTTGGGGCCATACGATATCGTGGACCTATATAGCCAATTCTCTTCCATGGGTAAAGTGCTTAGAAAGAACTTCTTGTGTGGATGTTCAGACAATTCACATGGAAAATATAACTATAAACATCAAAATACCGAATATAGAGAGTTACCGTTATATTGGGGCCTTCGAAGACGTGAACATGCATAGTCAATTTTCTGACACAGACAGTAGTAGGAACTTCAAATTGCTCATTTGAAACATTTCCGGTAAAAAGAGTGACAGAAATCATCAAAATATGGAATATTTGGAAGTACAGTTATATGGGGCCTATATTAAAACGTGGGCCTCTATATCCCATTTTCAATACCAAAAATCCTGCAGAACAAACACACATCTGAGCAAAATTTTATCAATCTACTTCATTTCGTTGGGAAGATAGAGCGATTTCCACAGACGGCCATCGCTAAATCGCTATAGCTATATTTTATGTTAATCACGGATCGATATATACTTTGCGGGGTTAAATCATAAGGTTGATACTTTGATACCAGCAGCGGATGCTAAAAGTATAAGAAATGTTTTTAGACCCTAAATCTCTTTGAACCAAAAATATTTTAGGACATTTGGAGTCCATCTAAAGGAGATCCATCTAAAGAATGTCCTTTCGTTCATCTATCTGGCTGGCTGGTGCGACCGATAACTCTCGAAGGGAGTATCCAAATTTTGTACATCGTAATATTGTTGTCAAACTTAGTTCGTGATCGGTAATGGACAACCTCGGTTCACTCCCTCTGGTATCTGCCCCACAAAAGGTCGACATTTTTAATAATTACAACCTTTATAACATTCGAAACACTTTTCAAGCTTGGTTTATCTAAATATTTCTCCTAATCAGAGATCCCAGGTGAATATGACATTTATCGGTCCACTCCTTGTTGTACCTCCCTCACAAGGGGTCAACACTTTGAATAAATACAACCATTATAACATGCGAAATAAGTCAGCGATTTTCATCAAACTTCGTGTGTCTCCAAACTTCTGTTAAAACTAGATCTAATAGATATTTCGTTTCACTTCTTTTGGCTAAACATTTGACTACCAATTATTAAAATTGAATAAGTGCACATCCCAATATTTTTTTCAGTATTAGATAAAGTGGAATACTTCGCGCACATCCATCGCGTACATTTGAACATTCTAACAAAAACTAAACACATATTTCATATAAAGTACAGAAAGATATAGGCCAAATCTGGCATCTTGTAATATTAGCTCAGATACGATATATATATATATATTTCAAGTTTAGATATGAAATGGAAATGCATTTCCATAAACATATACATTTCTAAAAATTGGGTTCATTTATGAATTAGGATAGGTGGGATACAAATATTACTATGTTCGAAGTTCTGAGCAAATCGAATACTCTGGAGGGGTACCAGGTGGAGAGAATCGACATTGCCGTCTATGAACTCGGTTTTAAATGTCCTAAAGAGGATCTTACCCAAAGAGACGTGTGATCCGAAAAAACCAATACTACAATGAGGCACATTTCGGTCGTACTTATCTATATAGGATCCTCTGCTACCACAATGTCTGACCAAACCATTTAACAACCAAAACATATAATCAGATTATATTAAATCTATCGTTACCTTCATATTGGTATGACGACAACAGTTCATATATTCAAACCTAGTTTCAGTAATGCCTTCCTGTCCGTTACTATATATACTAAAACTATAAATTAATATATTCACCAAAGGAAAGCTGTCAAAAACTGTGATGAGATTATATAACTGTGATATGTTACATACATCTGATATTTGACATATAATCTGTGTTGCTTGCTATTTTGGCGGAGAAAAACACTAAAAATTATTCTGCATCTATGTAGTCGGTGTTTTTGATATGAGCCAATTCATCCAAATGCGGCGGCCAAACTTCCGGATAAAAGAGAAATTAAACAACACACACTGGTACTTTTCGCCCAGGGTAATCGACTCTATGATAACGAAATTATTTATACAGATTCAATGAAAGTCGTTAATTATAATGGCATTAATCTATAAAATACGACAGAAAATAGCGTAGAATATGCCAGGATTATTTGCATAAATTAGTTGCGCCACTTTGTTAGGGACGGCGGTTTGGCTATTAGAGTAAAATTCAAGCGGGTTAGTTAAAAAAAAAAAAAAAAAACAAGGTAAAGGCTATAATTAGGGGCAATGTAAAGCGACAAAGAAATAAGATGAAGGTTCGTAAAACTTCTTGTTTCCGCCAAATAATTAAAAAAACAGTAAGGAAAAGTCAAGTCAAAGCGGGGTTGACTAAATGATACCCTACACCACTATGCATATTTAGTAGAGCTCCCGTAATAAAATAAATTATTTGACGTAGATCATACCACCTATCAACATTTGGAGAAAACTCATATGTATGGAAGGCATATCCAATTTTGAATTGATTTTCACTAAATTTGACGGATACATTTTTATCTTTTTTTTACCAAATAATATTTGGCAAAGGCATTTCTGGGCTATATCTGATATTTGGTACCAAATATCGTTGTTGTGAAGTGCTTATTACGCATGTGAGGGACTTAAGCACCAAATCGGATGAAACATATATATGGGAGCTATAGCTATATCTGAACCTAACTTAATTTTATATACTTGTTTCAAGACTAAATTTGGTTGAAGGTGCCAAAATTCAGGTCATTTGGATTTATATGGTGCACAAAAACCTGATCCGATTATCACCAATTTCAATAGGGTTCGTCCTCGAGCCAAACAAACATTGTTTGGAAAATTCTATCTCAATCGGATAATAAATGCGACCTGCATTTTGTTCACAAGACTGACATACATACATCGACTCAGAAAGTGATTCTATGACGATCCTCAAAAGTAACTATGGGTCTATCTCGCTTCCTGTTTCCTGTTACAAACAAATGCACAAATATATAATACCCTTAGCACTATGTGGTGTAGAGTACAATTACCATTAATGACATTTATTGTTCAGGAGGATCTTTAGTCAAAATATTGCAACAAAATAAGTCCAACAATGAAAATTACCAGATCGAGCTGAAAGTACTAGGCTATATTCGAGATTGGCAATTCCTTTGATGCTTTGACCGGGAATATCTGAAAATTATGATCTTATCAAAAGTGACTACCATCGCTTATTTTCGTGATTACCTATAGATAAATTCTACTAATAATAACAGGACCCACTTAGTTCCGAATAAGTACACCGCAACTGGTTTTCAAGTAAAAAGATATATTAAAATGTATACATAAAAGAGCAGTGAGATAACCGACTGACTGACTGTAAATCAACGACCAGACGAAACGGCTGAAACTAGAATCTTGAAATGGTACTTCAATCTAATAAAAATATATACTTTGTATTTGACAAACGGAATGAATTAGATTTCTAACATTTGGAATGAAAGCCACTATTGGAGTGCAGGATGGATGTACCAAAGGCTCGAGCTTTCAGTTTATGAAAACTGCTATAATGATACCATTTCATAATATGTGAACGGATAGAGCTAAAAACTTGAAATAAGGTATGAGAATCAAGGTTGGAAAGTAAGATTAATATTTGAAGGTGGTATATTTGAAACGTGGACGCACTGTACAAAATGGTAGTAAATATGGAACAATTTCTTATTGTGTGAACAGATAGTTTTTGAAATCTGAAATTTGGTATTAGAATCGCTGCTCATGGGTAGTCTGGGGTTGTAGTAGTTGTGGACATTTGTGCTTTAATTGTACAAAAAGTACTTAATTTGGTATTGTGTGAAGGAATAGATCTTGAGTCTGAAATTTGATATGAATGTCACTATTGGTATCTGTGGTTGAGAGAAGCACGTGCATGTCCTATAATTGTACTAAATGGTACTAAATTTGGTAGTGGGGGAAATTAAATAGCCGAAATTAGATATTGAGGTCACTGTTGGTATCTAAGGTCGGGATATAAAGATTTTTATTTTTAAAATGCATACTATAATTGTTCGAAAAGTACTAAGTGGTACTAAATTGGGTTTTGGTTTTGAAGATATAAAGCTGAAAATGTAAAATTTTATATTGCGATAACTGTTAGTGTCTAGCATTGAGATATGGAACGGGTTTTTAAATGAGTACTATAATTATACGAAAACTATTAAATGTTACTAAATTTGGATCACTGTTGTTGTCAAGAAGGTAGAAACGTAGATTGTTTTGGATATGCGTAATAATTGTTGCTGAATTTGGCATTGGGTTAAGG